TCCTCGCTTGTCTGCCGCCCTGCCTGCTCTGAATCTCCAGGCGATGACGACGTGTCGATCGTGGCGGGTTCGTCAGACATCAGCATCAACAACGTGACGTGCACCGCCGGCCATGGCATCAGGTGAAGAGGGAAGTGGGGGAAGCGCGTGGGGGGCGCCAACTGGGAGCATGATTTCTTATGGGCGTGGCACGCATAGATGGATATCCGCCACACGGTGGGTACCGCACTGCACCCTGGGCACTGCTCAACTGATGTGCGCTCCCTGAGTACTCATGCATGGCTGCACGTTTGTGCACTTGTGCGTGCAGCATCGGCAGTCTGGGCTACGGTGGCAAGACTGCGTGTGTATCGAACGTGACAGTAACCAACTCGGTGCTGTCGGGGCTGTCCAACGGGCTGCGCATCAAGACGTACCAGGGCGGCAGTGGCTCCGTGTTCAACATTCGATATGAGAACGTCACCATGCTCAATGTCGAGCGCCCCATCATCATCGACCAGGTGCCATTCCCAAGCTCCCCTGACCCCCCTCTGCCCTCACGTGACCTAGGGTTTCGTTTCCCATCAGCCGCTTGCAGAAACGCCATCTGCCTACCATCTCATCGGTTGCGTTTCTTTTGCTGCCCACTGTGCTCTGCGATACCCCTCCTTGAATCCCATGCCGTCACCCCCTCCTCCGACTTCGTGCCCCCCCATACCCTCTTCCCCCTTCAGTACTACTGCGACGCGGAGCCGTGCGGGTCGGGTCTGCTAGCGCTCTCCATCTTCAACATCACGTACACCAACATCACCGCCACGGCCGATGCCACCACGGCCCGGGGCATCATTCGCGGCATCGACCTCGCATGCAGCCGCACCGTGCCATGCACCGGCATCTTGCTCTCCCAAGTGCGCATCGCGGGGAGCAGAGCAGGAAGGGGCGCCGTGGGCAGCAGGAAGGTGCAGCAGTCGTCGGTAGAGCCTGCGTCCCTTTCGAGCTTTGAGCCCGCATCTCAAACCGCCATGCGCCTCTCCAACGCGTTTGGCGCCAGGGACGGTCGCGCGTTCCCGCTGGTGGATCGCAGTGTAGCCGCGAATCTGGACTCCGCTGCTGATGGAGAGGATGCCGCAGCCGCGGATGCGCTGGTTTCGGCGGAGCAAAGAGCAGCACTGGCAGCCCAACGACTCAAGTGCGGGTGAGTCGTGGGGAATCATCTGCGCACGCGGCCTCGGGACTGCTGGCCATGTGCCCCAGCAACTCCTCTGCCTTCCCCTCCCTCTATCTCCACCCATTCTCTAGCCTCGTGCGTCTCGCGTTCCAGCTAGGTGTACCCACCGTCATTATCCTATGTGTCCGCTCACCACACCTTGCTGACTGTCCATTGCAGGGTGCAGCCATGGGTGGACTTAGGAGGGTCTCTATGAGGCGTGTGGAGGGGCCGGCCAGGTGGCTCGTTGAGTGGTTTATTGGAACTGGACGAAATGTGGTCGTGATGGTGGGGTGAGGAGGAGGAAAGGAATGCACACAGCTGCTTGTCTATTTCATCTAATAAGTGCCCTGTACAGTAGGAACGGCACAAAGAGTTGAGACGGCAGTCATTATGTACATTAAGAGTGGACAATAAGGTCCTCCTTCTACCATCATGCAATTAAAGATTAATAACATTGATACTCACAGGAATCCCTGACAGGTCTTCAAGGGAAGCGGAACCTGGACTTGCCAGGCTATCTGCGACCACCACGTTCTCTTGCAGCTGTTGCACGAAATGGATTTTTTTTTTTATGAAATACATCGCGACACTGTCTTCCAGCTCGCGACCTGACAGCTGAAGAGGTATCGTCAATCTGGCTGACAGGTAGACCAAGTGTGCTGTGGAGCCAATGTGTCAGCAAAACCTCCAGTGTAATTGTTTGTCAATACCTGACATAATTTGACCACAACGTCAGAGATGAATTATTCCTAGGCAGTCCCTATCTCCTGCTACACCTGGTCGACCCTGTGTCGACCCTAGCACTATCACCCTTCCCTCTGCCATATCTCGCCAAACTACCCGCTTCTGCATGGCACGGAGTGCAGTGCAAGCGGCGCGGCATTACGCGCCCGTGGGGCCATCGAGGGCAACGGTGGCGAGCTTCTGGCTTGCGGTGCAGTGGCTGTAGACGCCCGAGAGAAAGTAGGTGGTGGTGTTGTCGAGCGGGTTGCTGAAGCACCCCTCGCCCACGCCGTCCGTGGCGTTGCAGTACGCCGTGTACCGGTCGTACTTGCACGCGTCGTAGTCCTCTTTCGTCGGCACTATGTACACCTCATCCATGTGCGCCGCGTACTTAAAGTCTGCCCAGCGGAGCAGCGGGAGCGAGGAATGGGAGGGGTGGCAGGGAGGAGGAGAGGGATGGGTGGGAGATATTTTAAAGAGAAACCGGCACAGCAACGTCGGGAGGAGACGGCAAGGCGATGGTAGAAAGCCGTTAGCTCAAACCACGAAGGCGGAAAGAGAGACGAGCGACAGCAGCTGGCGAGCTGCCGCAGGGTGGAGGGTAGAAGAGGACAAGGTGGCGCAATGGGAAAGGGAGAGACGGGGACGTACAGAGCACGTCGCCGTTGTAGAGCGTGTTGTTGAACAGCCACTCCGTGTAGTTCACGGCCGGGTTCCACGGCCACGTGTACTCGCCCTTGGGGTACCCCACCACGATGTCGCGCGGCCCGGTTTCCACCCCCACCTCCACCGTTAGCTGCCACAGTGCGCAACACACGCCGCGCGATGCGGAGGGGGAGGTAGGGAGCTTATGGTTTTAGGCCACGAGGTGGTCGATGGGCGGTGCGGTGACGTGACGATGAGCGCCGCGACCCTTGTCCTCCAAACCCTCCAAACCTTGTTGGCCTTCCTGCTGTAGGCGAATTCGAAAAAAAATCCGAGACCCGCTTTCCAAGCCTCCTGGTGCCGCTCACCTGCATGCTGGTGTTGCATCGCGCCACCATGCCCGACGCGAACAGCGCTGTGCCGGCCGACACGGGCACCTTGCAGCCGGCAGCGCCGTCCACGTCACGGCACACGCGCGTCCCCTTGGTGTACACGCAGCGCCGCATGTCGTCGCTGCGCGAGAAACGGTACACCTCGTCGGCGCCCGTAGGGTAGTAGAACACTGTGGAATGGGTGTGAAGGGGGGCCGGGGAGGGGGGAGGAGAGGAGGGGTGAAGGGGTTGGAAGGGGCAGGGGGAGCGAGCGGAGAGCGTGCGTCAGTCTGACAGCTTTTATTACTCGCTCTCAAGGCGTGACACGCCTCCGCGTGTCGGATTCGGATTGGCGAGCACACGGTGGTCAACTGACTCACCGAGCACGTCGCCTTCGAAAACGCGATTCGCGGGGTCCTCAGACCACGCTGTGAAGTTGACTTTGGGGTTCCACCCGTAGTTAAACGTCGAATCCGTCGTGCCCACGCGGACGTATCGCCTTCCCTCCGCCGGGACCACGTCGGTGGACGCGGCCCGTGAGGCTAATGTGGCGGCGGACAGCAGAAGCAAGACGCACGCGCAGCTGTGCTGATAAGGCGACATCGCCCTGTGAGCCATGTTTTCGATGATGTTGGGTTTGCGTGTCTTGGTAACTAAGAGTGCGAGTGTTAGTCAAGGAATCTCGCTAAAAGAAGGCCACGAGTAGGAAGACACAAAGCTACTGGACGGGCGCGGGTTTCAGAACGGCATGTATGAGATAGCCACGAGAGGTGAAACGGTTCGAGCCCGATGGTGCTCTGCGAAGTCGTAGATAGCTGAGTGGGCAGGCAGAGCAGAGCGAATTGATGATTGATGCACCCGTCGTGGCCTGCGAATACCAGTGGAGTCGCGGGTGACGCGAGGTACTGCAGGCAGGCAGGGAAGCGAGCAGATGGACGAAGCGAGGGGAAGAAGGCGGGAGGGGAAGACGAGGAGAGGGCAGGGCGGCGCGACAAGAAGTCAAAAAAATGGCGCAATCTGGCAACTGACCATGTCGAATCTGTCAGAGGCAGGGAACAGAGAATCCAGTGGGGAGGGCTGCTTGTCTTCGTCGTGTGACGCTAAGTTACCACTTTCTGAGTTATCGCCAAACAATGTGCTACTGGGGTGGTTGTGGCTGAGCAGTGGTTACGTCAACGTTCGCGGAACTAACATTGCAACGTCCTACGAAGAAGTCAAATGCATTTCTATTCATCGAAACCCGTTAACGAATGAGCCGAGCCACTACACTCAGATAGTTCGCGGTAGTGTTTCCATAACCGATGTGCATAAATTTATTTGATAACTAGGTTTGAGTTTCCGAGAGTTGATAATTGCGTCACTTGCAGCGGGTCAAGAAGGCACTGAGGGTTCCAGTGACCGCCACCGTAGGCACGGCTCCATTATGTCCATAATGTACAGACTAGCGGCGCTTGCAGCATAGAGGCGAAGCGACATGCGTTGGGCGAGACTTAGGCAATAGGAGCGCGCACGTAGAAGTGTGCAGTTTCTTGGTTTATTAAGAGGCGGCAAGATCAGCTGCATTTCGCACGCTCGGACTGCACGGCAACCAATGGCAGACGCCGACGTGGCGCAATTATGCAAGAAGCTGGAGGAGCTCGAAATGGCCGTGCACAATGTGGGTTGGCCGCAGCAGCTAAGTACCGAAGAAAGCGGCGCCAGATATCCGCGGGCGGAGTCAGGGAGAAGAAACCGTTTGCACATACGTCTTACAGGCAGATAATATTTTGATTGTCGGGCGTCGGTACTGGCTCAATCCACCCCCCGACTCCTCCCCGTTCACTCCCACACCTCTCTTTGCCCCAGGCGCGCGAAGAGGCGAAGGCGAAAGCGCAGAAGGCGGAAGAGCTGCAGAAGAGCCTGGTAGGTCGCGGGTGTCGTGCGCGGACTTGCGCTGCTGCGCTCCCGGCAAAAGAGAGTGACTGCCCAAGAGCCTGGAGGTTGTGGGGGGGAGGGAGGGATAGCGGGGACGACGAGGGGTGGGAGGGCGTACGTGGACCAGGCGCTTGTCGCTTTGTGGCGCTGTAACCATGTCATCCCCGCTCCCCCCCCCGCCCTCTCTCTCCCCCGCCCCCTTCCTCCTCCTCCTCCTCCTCCTCCTCCTCCTCCTCCTCCTCCTCCTCCTCCTCCTCCTCCTCCTCCTCCTCCTCCTCCTCCTCGTCCTCCTCCTCCTCCTCCTCCTCCTCGTCCTCCTCCTCCTCCTCCTCCTCCTCCTCCTCCTCCTCCTCCTCCTCCTCCTCCTCCTCGTCCTCCTCCTCCTCCTCCTCCTCCTCCTCCTCCTCCTCCTCCTCCTCCTCCTCCTCCTCCTCCCCACCCCCTCCCCACCGCCACCCGTCCCCTCCCCGCTCCTCCTCTTCTCCAGCCCATGCACTCCTTCAATCCCAATCCACTCCGCCCATCCCCCCATCTCTCCACCCACTCGTCCCCTCTCCCCACTTTCTACCTCCCCCCCTCCTCCACACCCCCCCCCCCCCCCCCCCCCCCCCCCAACACCCCCCTGTGCGGGCAGGCGGCGGCGGAGGAGGACAACAGCGAGCTGCAGACGGGGTGGGCGGAGCTCAACCGGCAGAGACTGGAGGCGGAGGAAGCTGCGGGCAAGCTTAAGAATGAGACGGTACTTGGGGGGGCGTGTGGGGGGAGGGAGGTGGGGAGACGGAGGGACAAAGAGGGGTTGTTGGAAGTTCATACTTGGGGCTGTGGTGAGAAGAATGGCCAGTGGGGGAGGTGGTGGTGGGAGAGCCATGGATGGTGGGGAAAGGAGAGTGCGAGGGATGGTAGCACAGCAGGCACATGGCGCCTGCACTCGTCCTTCCGTCCATCACCCGTATATACCCCTCCATAAATTGTTATTGCTTCCGCCCTTTACTTACTTCTCCCAAACCTTTTGTTACGATCTCATTGCACTCCCTTCCTCTCTACCCTTTCGCATTCCCTCCACCTCCACCCCTCACTCGTATTCTCTCCTTCCTCCTCCTTACTCCTCCCCCTCTCCACCCACTCTTCCCCAAACTCGGTCAGTCCCTTCCATTCCCAAATCCAACCCCCCACCCAACCTCCCCTGGTCCATCCCTTCACCCCCGCGCCCGCACGCGCGTCTCGTCCCCCCAGGCGCGGTTGGAGAAGGAGGTGGAGGAGAGGCACATGGAGGCGGTGCGCCTGCGTGCGGAGGTGGAGGAGGGGCGGCGCACGGTGGAGGAGAGCAAGAAGGCGGCGGTGATGGCGGCGCGTGAGCGCAAGGCGCGCGAGCTGGAGTGGGTGTCGCAGATCAGCCGCCTGCAGTCCGCCGCCCAGACCTCCTCCATGGCCAAGCTGCAGCTCGTCGCTGAGGTGGGGGGGGGGGGAGAGCGAGGGGCAGGGGGAGGATGGGAGAGGGGATGGGGGGCGAGAGGTGCTGCCTGGGGCCTGCACACACACGTGGGTGTGCGTGTGCTTGTGTGTGCGTGCATGTGAGTGTGTGTGGAGAAGAATACCATCAGCGAGCTGCCCTGCATCCCTTGCTCGCACCTTGCCTCACCCGTTGTCCCATCGCTCAACCTTCCCTTGCTGCTCCGCTCGCCCCGCCCCTGACCCCCATGCACCTAAACCCGGAGCAGTCAGCGAGCAGCAGGCAGAGGTGCGAGCGGGTGGAGGAGGAGAAGAAGGCGGTGGAGAGGCAGAGGGATCGCCTGGACGAGGAGAAGAAGGCGTTGCAGCAGCAGCTCAAGGACCTGCAGGTGCGTGCTGAGGGGGGGTTCTTGGTTTGACTTGACAGACTGTCAAGGAGCTGCCGGTGGGTGGGTGGGTATTGTGCGTGAGGAATTGGGGGAGGGGCCAGGGCACGGCGGGAATGCGTGTTGCGTCGTTTGCAGTGGCAGCACGGGGAGGTGGAAGTGGAGGCACTGCTTGGGCATGTACCCCACGGCTGTGACTGGGAGGAAGAAAGGGATTTCTGCCGTAAGACCTAATGGGGCATGGCATGTGAGTGGATCCCCTCTGTCTGTGTGCCTCGGTGAGTCCTGGCGTGGAAATATCACGTGGACCGCTGTTGAATGGATGAGTGTGATTGGGTGATGGGCTGCCTCACACCTTGCCACGTGTTTACTCTGCTGCTTGCCACTGTTTGCCACGTGGCATGTGCAGGAGCGAGGGACAGGCCCAGCGTGTGGGTCGGCGGCGTCGGAAGAGGCGCTGCAGAAGGCACAGGCCGACCTGGTAAGAGGCGCGGGCATGGGGGGCGGGGCGAGGGCGCTGAGAGAGGGGCGAGGGCATGCCGAGGGGGGCGCAACGCAGGAGGTGTTGCATACAAAGGCTGTGCACCATCCACCCGCCCTGCTCCCTGTCCCCGTCCCCCCTCCCCCACACACCTTGCTTGCACATCACCCCCCAGCTCCACCCCCTTGTCACACTCCCTCCCCTTTCATCCACCCCCCCCCCCCCGCCTCTCCGTCTCTCCCATGTCCGAAACGGGCCACAGGCAGCAGCGCAGAAGGCGGTGGAGGAGGAGCGGCAGGCGGGCGAGGAGGCAGTGGCGCAGTGCGCACAGCTGGAGGCGCAGTGCCGTGACCTGGAGGAGCAGGTGCAGCAGGCGCAGAGCAAACTGAAGGAGGCGAAGGAGGCCGCGCAGGAGAACGGCGCCCAGGACAGCGCCATGCTGGCGGTGAGGGCACACCGTGGTGGTGGGGGGTGAGGGCTGGGTGGGATGGACGGTGCGGGAGGGGGGTTTTAGGGCGGGTCAATGGGGTGCTGCTGAACGGGAGAAAGGAAGAGGGAGTTAAGATGCTGCATGAGTGCGGATGGGTATGGCTGCTTAGCATGGTAGCAAGCAGGAGCATGGAGCATGGTGGGCGTGCATGTGCCAAACGCCAGACAAGCTATAACAGAGCAGCATCTCTCCATGGGTACAGTCACATCATCTCCCCAGGGCCTCTCAGGCAGCTCGTAATTGCAGTCCTCTGGTGCAACGTCAGGAGCGCATGTGGTGCCGGCACCTTTGTGGAGGGTGCATGAGCACGGGCTTGTGCACGTTGATATGAGCATGAGCATCCACTCCTTCATGCTTCCCTTCTCCTCTGCTTCTCCCCGCCTGCCCTCCACTCTCTCACTCGCACGCTGGCCAGATGCTGAATCTCCCCGAGAGCGACGCGCGGGTACAGCTGATGGAGGCACTGGCCAGTCTGGAGCAGGAGAAGAGGAAGGTGCGTCGCTGCCATGCCCTTGCCTGCGCCAGCCACTTCCCCTCTCCTTCTTGCCTTGCCTCTCTCTCCCTCGGACTTCCCTCCTCCGCCTTCCCCTCAAGCCCCTCTCAAGCTCCCCTTGAGCCTCCTTCTGCTCTCCTCTGCTCCTCTCTGCTGTCTGTCACCCATTCCGTTGCACATGCACATTGTGCTTCACCTTCCTCCTCATCACCCCGCAGCCCCCTCTCCCTCGTGCGCGCACCACCACCCCCACGTGCGTGTGTGCAGTCCAACTCCTTCTGCATGCAACAGATAGAGCTGCGGATCAAAGCAAAGAAGCTCCAGGTGACCATGCCCGCCCATGCTCTCCGCCCATGCCTTCCGTTCTCCGATCTCGTCCATCCTTTATTCCATGTGGCTATCTCTCTTGCTCCATCCCCCATGCCATTCAATGCTCCTCCCCTCCCACCGCCCTCTCTCCCAGCGTCCCTGATTGCCTCGCGTGGTCTCCATCCGCCTGCTGACTATGTCTTCCTCTCTCCTATGTGCCACCATGCATCACATCGTATGGGCATGATGTGTGATGCATGGCATGGCATGGCATGGCACAGGACGAGTTGAGGGCGTCGGACGTGCCAGCGCTGAAGCAGGAGGTGGCGAGCCTGCAGGACGAGCTCGCCCAGGCCAAGGCGCTGCTTGACAAGGTGGGCGCTCTCACGCACGCAGCTCTTCATTGGGGGTGGCTGAGTTTTGAGCTGTCTAGAACTTGGACATGGTGGGAGGGGCAGGGGCCGTGGGACTTATTGGAGGGGGGTGAGAGTTGGGGTGCGTGGGGAGGGATTGGGAGTTGATTTTGTAGCGGAGAGCAATGGCGCTGACGGTGGGGTGATGGGATGATGGGATGGGATTGGATGGGATTGGCTGGGATTGGATGGGATTGGCTGGGATTGGATGGGATTGGATGGGATTGGATGGGATGGAGCCCAATCAAAGTGGGGATGTGCTTGGGCGGGAGGCAGGGAGGCACATGGGGGAAGGAGGTGGAGCGACGGGTGGTGGCATGATGTATGGCTCTGAAGTTCCTTGCTCATCACACGCCATCAACCTACTCACCTGCCGAACCTTCTGTGTCCCCTCTGGGCGTGCCTTTGTTCCTTGTTGTTATGTGCATATCCGCCTCCCTGCGAGCACAGGCGGAGGAGGAGAAGGAGGAGCTGCTGGCACAACTCCAGGTACACACAGCACAGCACAGCACAGCCACCAGCTGCCGCTCCTCTCCCCCCAACATCCGCTGCACACATGCGCGCACGCATGCCGATTAGCACTCCTCGCTGTGCTGTGCTCGTGACGCTGTGTGCCCAGCACAAGCTCTCACCACCCAGTTCCTCCATCTGGCAGCTAGTGGTGCACCATTGCCATGCACCATTGCCATGCACCATTGCCATGCACCATTGCCATGCACCATTGCCATGCACCATTGCCATGCACCATTGCCATGCACCATTGCCATGCACCATTGCCATGCAGGGCACATACAGTATGGCCCATGTGTTGTTGCTCTATGACCGAGGTCAGGATTCGCTTCTCACACGCCCATATTACACGCCCGCTGCTGCTGCCGCCTGTGTGCCCCTGTGTGCATGGTACGGCACATGGCGAATGACACATCATTGCACGTCATGGCATGGCATGGCACGGCTTGGCATGACAGGAGGCGGAGGCGGTGGGCAACAGTGCAATGCAGGCGGAGGTGGGGCATGTGCGCGGGGAGAACAACATGCTCATGCAGCAACTCGTACGTGGGGCGCGTGGGGAGTGGGGAGAGGAGGGTGGGAGGGATCGTGGCTTAAGCCAAGTATGGGATGGGTGGTGAGGGAGGAGCATGGGATGGGAGTGAGGAGGGTTGGCAAGATGTTAGTGGGGCACTGGGATCATTCCCTGCTTGGGTGTGGGAGGGCTACACGTGCGTCCTTGTAGGTCATGGATGCTTCCCACCATACAGAAATGCTCGTTTAACCCAGTCGGGTAGTACGCTCTAGAAGTGTTTAAAGGCGTTGCTGAAGCTGTACCGCACTGCACTGCACAGCACTGCACTGGTTGTTTTTGTTGGCTCAGCTACACCCCTGCTCAGCAAATCCCACCTATATTCCTTTCCATTCTGCTCTCCTCACATCCACCTCTGCTCGTTTCCCATCTCTTCACCCCCCCTACTCCTTCCTGTGCCCCTCGCTACCCCTCTGTACCCCTCTGTGCCCGTGTGTGTCCCTGTGCCCGTGTGTGTCCCTGTGCCCGTGTGGGAGGGCACCAGGACATGTTAGCAATGCAGTTCGACCAGGAGAAGAACCTCATCCACGCCCACATGGCGCAGGTGCCTGCCCTGCCCCTCCTCGCACCCGCCTCCCGCCTCTCCCCCTCCCGGCTCTCCCCCTCCCGGCTCTCCCCCTCCCGGCTCTCCCCCTCCCTGCTCTCCCCCTTGCTGCTCTCCCCCTTGCTGCTCTCCCCCTTGCTGCTCTCCCCCTTGCTGCTCTCCCCCTTGCTGCTCTCCCCCTTGCTGCTCTCCCCCTTGCTGCTCTCCCCCTTGCTGCTCTCCCCCTTGCTGCTCTCCCCCTTGCTGCTCTCCCCCTTGCTGCTCTCCCCCTTGCTACTCTCCCCCTTGCTGCTCTCCCCCTTGCTGCTCTCCCCCTTGCTGCTCTCCCCCTTGCTGCTCTCCCCCTTGCTGCTCTCCCCCTTGCTGCTCTCCCCCTTGCTGCGGCGTTCCGCTCGTGCGTGCCGTGCATAAAAGGCACCCCTCAATGCACCATCCCTCTCTCCTTGCTAAACTGTTTGCGCGTCACTCACCCAGCTTCCCTGCCCCTTTCGTCTCACTCACATGCCTTTCATTCACCGCCTTTCACTCACCCACCTTTCACCCCGTTTCCCTGCACTCCAACATGCTTGCCCCCATGGCAACACAGGGAGGAGGTGCATGCAGCACACATACACCTCTCGCTCACCTGCCCCACACATCGGTGCATCAGTCCAACGCCCTCCCCCCTCTCTTCCCTCCCCCGCCCTCCCTCCTCCTTCCCCTCTCCTCCCCCTCCCCCCTCCCTCCCCTCCCCCTCTCTCCCTCCTCCCTCCTCTCCCCCCCACTCCCTCCTCCCTCCCCTCCCCCTTCCCCATCCCTCCTCTCCCCCTCCCCTTTCCGTCCCTCCCCTCCCCCTCCCTCCCCTCCCCTCCCCTCTCCGTCCCCCTCCCCCTTCCCGCCATCCCCTCCGTGTCGCCCCACGGCAGAAGGAGGAGGAGGTGCAGGACATGAAGCTGCGTCTAGGGGATGAGCGCCAGGAGAGGGAGGAGGCGCAGCGGCGCCTGGAGGAGAGTGAGCGGCGGCGCGAGGCGGTGAAGGGGGAGATGGAGGCGATGGAACAGCAGGCGTTCAAGATGCGGCAGAGCATGGTGCACATGCAGCGCCAGATTACCGAGGTCAAGATGGGAGGGAGGGAGGGGTGGGGGTCAGGTGGGTTGAGATGGATGGAAGGACTGGGACGAACGGGAGGAAGGGGTTTGGCTTCATGTATGGGGACTGAGGGACAGTGAGACATAGGGACAGCGGGACACGAAAACCATTCTCGCAGATTTTCTTGATTTCTTGTACCTGGAATCTCTCTTTGCTCTCCCACGGAGCAGGCGGAGCATTCACCTGGGCGGCTGTATGTGGAGGCGCTGGAGGAGCAGCGCAGCAGGGTGGCGCAGCTGGAGCAGCAGGTGGCGGAGAAGGGGCACGCGGAGCAGCAGGTGCAGCAGCTGCAGGCCGCCATGGCTGCTGCTGAGGCGCACACGGTGGAGAGGGAGGCGCAGGTGGGAGTGGGTGCTTGTGCTTGGGCTCGTGCTGTTGTTGGTGTTGGTTGTTGAAGAGTGGGTTGGTGTGCATGTGTGACTGCTTGCTTTGGTGACCCAAGCGCACCTCCAAAAAACCCCACCATTCCTCCACCTCCGTTTCCCCCCCACAACTCTCCCCCTTCCTCCCCCCACCTGCACCCCCCTCTCTTCGCCCGTGCAGCTTTCATCAGAGCTGGCCTCGAACAGGGCAGCCAAAGAGTCGCTACAGAAGCAGCTGGTGAGTCCTTGCTGCAGTTTCTGCCACAGGAGCATGTGGGCTTGTGTGGCCTCCTCCCCATCCACATGCACACCCATGCACACCCATGCACACCCATGCACACCCATGCACACCCATGCACACCCATGCACACCCATGCACAACAATTCGCACCACAGCATTGCTTCCCTCCCGTCTGCCTGACTGACCAACCCTTGGTGTAGTGTGCTTCTCCCTTTCCCCTCCCTGCTCTGCCACTCTCACTCCTCTTGTCTCTTCTCCTCCAACCCTCCTCTGCCCCTCTCCCTCCCCTTTTGCACCCCCCTTCCCAACAATTCTTTGCATTGGCGGGTTGGAGCAGGAGGAGATTCGGTCGCACCACTTGACATGGGAGCGCGATCGATGCTCATTGCTGGAAGCATTGAACAAGGTAACCACATCCATGCTCCCCGTCTCTCGCTCGCACACCCTCTCCCTGGCCTGCCTGCCCTCGTGCGCACTCGCAGCACATCCATCAACCACCACATTCACGCCTATTTCTCCCCATCGGTTTGTCCCAAGTCTGCCCTCTTTTCCTCGTCGACTCTGTGTGTACGCACCAACGTGCATGCGGCACCACACACCTCGTGAGCATACTTTGATTTTTTTGCACTAACTCGCCAACAAGGCGTCTATTCCCCCCTTGCGTGTACCAATTTCTGCAGGTGGGCGTGCGGGACCCGCGCAAGCCAACGCATGTGGTGCGGCTGCGGCAGAAGGGGTCGTACACGTGCGCTCAGTGCCTGGCGCTGGGCCGTGGCCTGGCGTGGAAGTGCACCGCGCGCGACTGCACCGACCTCATGCACCCCGACTGCCTGCTGCACCGCTAGCCGCCCGTGTGTCCTGTACATGCGTGTCAAACGAATGACTCAAGGCTGCGTGCTGTGCTGTGCTGTGCTGGTAGCAGGCTGTGTGGGGAGGCACTTTGCATTTAGCAGCCGTACTGCTGCTGCATCGGTACCTCCAGGGTTCATTCATATTTATGAGCAGGCTGCCGTTGTAACACTGTGGCATCTCCTGCCATTTTGAGGAGCTTGTGAGTACCACTGCGTTGCCCATGTGCACTCTCTATAGCACCTTTGCTAAGATGATCGATAGGAAGGAATGTCACTGATAGAAAGTCTACGCCTAATGCTATATGCAATACAGCACTCCAAACACTAGTGATGCGGAACCCAATACAACGTAGTTCTCATAATAGAATGCTGAAAAGTTCTTTGCAACAGATGTTCCATAGGTTAAACTACATTGCACCAGGTACACCTAGAGACGCGGAACAGGCAGGCTCCGGCTGCCACTGCAGCCGTGCTGCTGGTGTGTGTTGGCTGGCGGGTCACGGATCATGAAGCACGACGCACAACCAGTGGGCGGGAGGGATCAGGAGTAGAAGAGGCGGCGGGCATAGAAGACCATGACTACCACGAGCACTATGATGGCGATGGGCGCCCATTTTCTCAGGAGGGCCTGGAGGGACAATGACACATGCGTGCACAGGCACGGGTGGATGGGAGAGCTGAGGGAATGAATGGCCACGAAACTGAGCGCTTCAGAGTGCATGTCCCGGTGCGTGTGCACAAGCACGTGTGATTGTGACGCAGAAGCAGGGAGTGAGAGGTGTGAGAGAGCAACCGGACGAGTGTGCACGGAGGCTGCAAGCGGTAGAGCACAGCGCACCTGTTGGCTGAGCTGCTTGGCCTTCTTGGCGTATGCACTGGACTCTGTGGATAGCCGGCTCGACACTTGCGTCAGATCTGGGGTGCAGGAGAGGGGGTTGGGGGGTGGAGGAGGGATGGGGGAGAAACAGTGGGTGTGGGGAGCATGAGTATGCATGTGTGTTGGTACTCCGTGGAGAAGATATTATCATGGAGAGCATGTCCAGGAGAAAGCGGGTGTGTGAGCGCAAGTGGTGTGCGTGGGCAGAGGCGCCGCGTGTGGGAGAAAAGGTGAGTGGGCAGAAGCAGTGTGTGGGCGAAAGCGTGAGGAGGCAAAAGGGGGTGTGGGGGCGCAGCAGCGCAGCAACATACGGTCGAGTTTCTCCCCGGTGCCGAGCACGTCTTGGATGTTGCGAGTCATGATCTGCTGCACCTCTATCAGGTCATCGTTCAGCCGGTCAATGTTGCGCTGCGTGTGCGTGTCCAGGTACTGCTTGCGCGTCTTCTGAATAAACGTGTCTGCTTGGGGGGGTGGGCGGAAGGCACGTGGGAAATTGAGGACAGGACTGGTTAAGAAAGAAGAGAGGTGTGAGAGGAGGCGGTGGGGATTAGGAGGACGGGGAGGGGAATAGGAGAGAAAAGGTGGAAAGGGAGGGGAGGGAAGGAGATGAAAGGGAAGTGGAAGTGCAGTCAGACATGACATCCACTTCCTAGGCGGTTCAAACGACATGCACTGTTGACCACAGGCAATGAGCCCCAGACACCCCTGCCGCACTCCCCATGCCCCTCTCCCTCCTCATGCCCTACCCAGCGCTCCCTCCCCCACGTCCCCTCCCCAACGCCTTCGTTCCCACGCGCCCCCCCCCACACGCACCGAACTTGATGAAGTAGTAGGGGCGCGCGACGGTTTCGATCTGCGAGCGGTTGACCTTTTCGAACTCGCGCTGCAGCTCCTCCAGGTACTGGAACGCCAGCTTCTTCGGGTACGACCGCTCGCACAGCGTCAGGTAGCACACCCCGCCCTCCACTATGTAACTGTGCGCAGGGGGGAGGTGGGGAGACGCGGGGGGTGTGGGGAAGTCGGGGGAAGCGGGGGAGGAGCGGGGGAAGGGAAGGAAGGGGGAGGGAAGGAGGTAGCGGCGCGGGGATGAGGAGGGAAGAATGGGAGTGAAAAAACGCGAGAACGCAACACAGCAGGGGTGGAGGAAGCCGATGGCGAGAGGCGGAGAAGAGCGGCGTACTGGAAGAAGTAGGGACCAGTCTCGATGGACATGCGCGACGCCTGCGGTAGGCCCTGCGACAGGCGCTTGAAGAGCGACTTGGCTTGCTGCTTGTACACCTCCATCTCGCGCTGCTCCCGCCCGTCGTCCAGCCCCTCTGCTAAAGGCAAGCCGTCCGTGGCTCGCGCTATCATCGTCACTTTCACCATGCTGACGCAATTCCGCGATGCGCGATAACGTGCTGACACGTGGTGCTCGTGGAGGCTACGGACTGCTGTGCGGTTCGGACGCTTTAAATTTCTAGGATACGGTGGCGCGGGGTGCAGTGGGGCGAAAGAGTAGGTTCTGCCGAGTTCTCTTTGGCATAATATGAACTAGCCACGCAGGGAGTCCCCTACAACGCGCAAGATGGAGAGAGGCGTCGTATGGTGAACGTGGGCGGACGGCAAAACCGAACGACGGGCCACGACACGACAATCTACGCAGCTATTGCAGAATTCGCCTGGTCTGCTGGCTGATCGCTAGAAGCATATGATCCTAGATTTCATCGTGAGTGGTGTCGGATTGGAACTTGGGATGGAGCTGAGGGAGTCGAGTGCAGTTGTGATCATAACGAGAGGAGGACGGGGGGAGCATGACGAGGTGGTGAGGGAAGGGCAGCAACACCCTTTGCGAACGAGATGGGTGTTACCACGAGCGAAAGCTACAGATTCTGAGTGGTACATTAGGGACTTTCATTCAATTATTACCACTACAATCTCAGAGACAGAACCTATACTGCCCCTGCGTATGACACTAACTTGACTGACTGCTATATAACGTCAAGGAAAATCATGCGTCGTTAAATATAGTTGCTGGCCTTGTCCACCACAGTTCGGCACGGTACAACCTCAGATTGTTTCACTGTCTGTTGTGGTTTCAGGTGCACCAGTCGTATCACCTTCAGCAGCAGCCGGCAAGTCAACACTGGGAGAGACCTCTGCAGTAGCAGCAGCTGCAGTTGCGGCAGCTGCAGCAGCAGTACCACCACCACCACCAGTGGCTGAGATTTTGGCGAGGGTGGCGGGGTCGTTGAGGGGGGCTTTGGGGCAGGCTTGGGGGTTGGCGGGCTGGAGGAGGGAGTCGTGGATGTAGGCCACCTCGATGCAGATGAGGCACAGCGGGTTCGTCTCCACGTGGAACAGCCGGTACCCCAGACTCTCAAACGTGTACAGCAGCGCCAGCATCGCCTTCGTGTTCGTGATCCTGCCATGCCAGCCAGGGAGGGAGGGGGTGGGGAGAAAGGAAACGAAGGCCGGTTAGAGGGGAGGTGTGATAAAAACAGGTCTGGTTGCAATTGCAGCCACGAGGAGCGTAAAGGAAGGTGGGAAAGACAACGGGGCAAAGGTTGCATTAAAGTAGGATATCAAGATTTCAAGATTTCAAGAGCACAAAAAAGAACAAAAAATAAACGAGGAAAATGGATGAAGTGATAAGGGGCAGGTGAACGTACTGGTGCAGTTCCATGAGCACTTGGCCGAAGGGCAGCACGCCGCCGTTGATGGCGAGGGTGGCGGGTTCGGAGCCGTAGGCGCGGGCGATGTCGCGCATAAAGGCGACCTCGCAGCCCTCGCAGTCGATCTTGAGCACGTCGACGTAGGTGTGGTTGAGGAAGAGCATGAGCTGTGCGAGCGTCTTGAAGTCGTAGTCGGGGTTCTGCTTGTGGTAGTACGCCAGCGACTCCTCACCCGCCACTCCGATGCCGTGGAAGTGCAGGAAGGGCAGCGAGCGCATGTGCGCCTGCTGCGCCGCCGTGATGAACGGGTCAAACGTGAACGCCTTGGTGCGCACCGACTCCGCCATGCCCTGCTCAAACGCAAACTGCTCGTTGCTCCCCACACTGCCGCAGGGGAGGGGTGATGGGGCAATGCACAGAGGGCAATGAGATTGGAGAGCGGATTTTGAGAAGGAGGGACATACGACATCCGTAGGATAGAGATTGTGCACTTGAAGACATTGAACAAGGGAGATCGTACCTGTAGACGATCGGCTGCTTTCGCAGTGCAGACGCGAGCATGCACACCCACTGCACTCACGGGACAACAAAGACACAATGGCAAATGCCAGGTCAAGGTAAGGGGCATAACCAAGTTGAACAGGCTAGGAATTCGGTAAGAAGAGGCAGAGCCCCAATCAGAAAGGAAATGCACTGAGTTGGTTGATTTGGAAAGGAGTGGAGGAGAGGGCGCACCTTGCCGCCGTCGCCCCACTCGCCGATGCGTTCCTCGTAGGGGCAGGGGTAGAGCGGCACGTAGATGAGCTCCTTCATCTCCGCCAGCGACAGCGTCAGCGGCTGCTCGCCCCCCATGGCCGCCCGCCGCAGCGCCATGTTCACCTGATTGTGGGAGGGAGTCGACAGGACAGAGGGAAGAGGGAAGTGGCATGGGCTGGGCTGAGATTTAGAGTTGAGGCCCGGATCGCGTTGTACAACCGTTTGGTCACACCGTTGCCGGGATGCACGAGGGCTCAAGAGGTTGGACCAATTTGGAATCTGGAATATACGCCTCCTACACTTCCGTCGACCCACAGCAACAAATGCCACCCCAGAGTATTAAGTGGTACCACTTTGGTTGTGTGAGGTAACACCGCTGAGGTATTGATGCCGATCCCCACAGCTGCATTAGGACTTACGATAGAACGACGCATAAAGCATGAATGCGCTAGTGCATTTATGCTCCACGTATGGGCCTCTGTACGTAGCAACTTACGTAGTACATCCATGCACTGTAGTATGGAGACCTAGGTTATTCCTATGCGCTGCATACCTGGAAAGAAGATTCTGCTTGGCACACAGCAGCATCGTCGATCTGCTGGTGGTCGGGGTACTTGAGACCGGCAGTGTCGACGGGGCAGTCAGCAGGCTTGGGCGGCTGAACAAGGGAGGCATGGATGTAGGCCACCTCCAGATGGCCGTTGGGCTTGGTCTCCACGTGGAACAACCGGTACCCCAGATTCTCCAACGTGTACTCCACCTCCAGCATCTGCCGCACTTGTTGGACACTGCATGATGTGTTGCAAGACGGGTGGAAAAGGCAAACACATGGAAAAGGCATATTTTCAAACCAGGAGTCACAGGCATGGTTAAGAAGCATGTCGAGAAGTCAACACAATAAAGGCGGGAACAGCTCAACAGATGAGGCATGTGGCACTTACTTTGTCAGCAGCATCATGATCTGGCCGAAGGGCAGGAGGCCGCCTGAGCGGGAGAGGCCGGAGGCGGGGTTGGAGCCGAAGGAGGCGTTGAGTTGGCGGATGAAGGCAACCTCACATTCGAGGCAGTCGGGTGCGAGGTAGAGCACGTCCACGTAGCTGTGCTTGGCCGCCGCCAGCAGGTCGGGCAGAGAGACGTCGGTGGGCTTGGCGTCCTTGGGCAGCGCCAGCCCCACCTCGTGGAACTCCACGTGCGCCTCCGCCCTCACTGCCGCCTGCTGCGCCGCCGACAGCGACGAGCTGAACACGTGCGCCCGCGTGTGCAGCGCTATGGACGCCGCCAGCTCAAAGCCGTACTCTGGCTTCGAGTGAATGCTGCGGTTAGAGGGACAGAGAGGGCCGAACAAAAAAGCACAGAACCGATGAGGATGAAGGGGGGGGGGGGGGGGGGAGGAGAGGAGTAGAAAACGAGGCAAGGAATGGGAAGAATGGAGAGGACAGGGACAAAGAATAACAGAGGGCGTTGTATCTAATACGCACCTGTAAACAACTGGCGCAGACTGAAAGGCAGTTGAGGCCATGCACACCCACTGTGGGACGGAGAGGTGAAGGGGGAGCAGGGGGTTTGGAAACACATCAGATGCGCAGGCATGGCGATAGAAAGTATGATAAGGTAAGGGCGAGCCACAGGAAGAAAAGAACGATGCCCGACTCAGATGCAAGCCCTCCCCTGCATGACTGACCTTGCCACCTTCGCCCCAGGGCCCGAGGCGTTCCTGGAAGGGGCAGGCGTAGAGCGGCACGAAGATGTTGTTGAGCATGTCGGGCGCATTCGTGATCAACGGCTGCGATGCGTTGCACGCCACCGTGCGCAGGCGCGAGTTCACCTGTGGGGGAACAAAGTTGAAGGCAAGAACGCAAATTTGGAAGAAAATGAGGTAAAGGTCATGAGATAGCATGGGCGGGGAAGGTGAAGGTCTAGGCAAAAGAACTGCACAGAGCATAACATTGCCGGTTACAGAAAGAGCAAAAGGAAATCAGACGTGTGCGTCCTGATGGTGTAGTTGGGGGCGTGGCTGTGCAATGGGCGTGTGTGGCTCACATAGTAGGAGCGGTCAGCGTGGCAGACCGCAGAACCATCCACGTGGCTTGTATCCCCCAGTGGCTCCATCCATGCAATGTCACTTGTTGCCCCACTCGCGACTGTGCTGCTGTCTCTGCTACTGCTGCTACTCGTACTACCGCTGCTCTCTTTGCTACTGCTTAGACTGCTGCTCTCTGTGCTGCTGCTGGTGCCCTCTGCACTTGCGCCACTGCTGCTGCCGCTTATGCTGTTGATGAGGCTCAAGGCGTTACCAGTAGACTCGGCACTAGCATGATCTGGATCCGACAAACTCAACCCGGAAACGATCGCACCGCTGCTGCCAGAGCTAGGACCAGACTCCAAGGGGCTCTTGGCACTCGCATCAGGCTCAGCAGCATCCGTGGTGGCGGTTGCAACAGCACCAGAAGCAGTGGCAGTATCAGCAGGACTGGCAACACTGGTAGATTCAGCAGCACCAGCCTCAGCACCTGGCATTGACTTCTCGTCCGCATCTCCCAGACCTGTTTCCACAGCAGGATTTTCCTTGTCTCCCTCTACTGCATCCGTGACGGGGGCAATGGCCCCTCCTGTTGCATCACCTGCCTCTGTCTCTCTTGCTGCTGCAGCTGCTACTGGAGCGCCCTTGGCTGCTTCTGCAGTATCCACGTCAGCAGCAACAGCGGCTCTAGCACCACTGCTGGCTGAGATTTTGGCGAGGGTGGCGGGGTCGTTGAGGGGGGCTTTGGGGCAGGCTTGGGGGTTGGCGGGCTGGAGGAGGGAGTCGTGGATGTAGGCCACCTCGATGCAGATGAGGCACAGCGGGTTCGTCTCCACGTGGAACAGCCGGTACCCCAGACCCTCAAACGTGTACAGCAGCGCCAGCATCGCCTTCGTGTTCGTGATCCTGCCATGCCAGTCAGGGAGGGAGGGGTAGCGGGAGGAAAGAATTGAAGACGTGAAAGCGGACGGGTAACTAAATACAGGTATGGTTGCAATTGCAGTCAAGACGAGCGGGTGGGGATTTGTGGAAAGACGATGTGGCACAGGGCGGACGAGGGGGTTAGAGATGAAATGAGGACCCGATTGGATTTCAGAAAAAAAACCAAACAAATAAACAAACCCAAGGGAGAAAAACGAATGATGGAAAAAAAAAAAAAAAAAAAAAAAGGAAAATATGAACGGATAAGGGGCAGGTGAACGTACTGGTGCAGTTCCATGAGCACTTGGCCGAAGGGCAGCACGCCCCCCTTGCTGGCGAGGGTGGCGGGTTCGGAGCCGTAGGCGCGGGCGATGTCGCGCATAAAGGCGACCTCGCAGCCCTCGCAGTCGATCTTGAGCACGTCGACGTAGGTGTGGTTGAGGAAGAGCATGAGCTGTGCGAGCGTCTTGAAGTCGTAGTCGGGGTTCTGCTTGTGGTAGTACGCCAGCGACTCCTCACCCGCCACTCCGATGCCGTGGAAGTGCAGGAAGGGCAGCGAGCGCATGTGCGCCTGCTGCGCCGCCGTGATGAACGGGTCAAACGTGAACGCCTTGGTGCGCACCGACTCCGCCATGCCCTGCTCAAACGCAAACTGCTCGTTGCTCCCCACACTGGTGGTGCAGGGAAACCAACCAGGAGGGAACAGGAAGAACAAAAAGAATATTGAAATAAGAAACAAAACACAAACCAGGGAGAATTGGGAAGGGAAGAGATCCATGCTAGCATCGACTCCAATAATTCAACCCTTTTGGCGGAATGCCAGCACGCACACGGGAAGGTCAAGAAAGTCGTAGTCTCAACAAATGACACAAGAGGTGGAGTGATGATGGAGAGAGAGTACCTGTACACAAGGGGCTTTGACTGTAGTGCTGTTGGAATCATGCAGATCCACTGCAAGGGGGTCATGGAGAAACAAGGATGGACGGATAATGTAGAGAGGACTGGCAACGGGCCTCAGTTATTTGGAAAAGCAAGAAACAACAAATAAGGTAGACACGGCTCTGGAGTTTGTCGATCCGAGTAGGCCGAAAGGCTAGCAGTTAAGTAAAAATCGCAGAGAATATATTAGGACGGAAAGGCCATGTTCGGTGCTCTTGCAAAGAGGTTGAGGGTTGGGCGCACCTTGCCGCCGTCGCCCCACTCGCCGATGCGTTCCTCGTAGGGGCAGGGGTAGAGCGGCACGTAGATGAGCTCCTTCATCTCCGCCAGCGACAGCGTCAGCGGCTGCTCGCCCCCCATGGCCGCCCGCCGCAGCGCCATGTTCACCTGATTGTGGGCAACAAAGGAATAGAGCTCAGAGATGAGTACATGTTGAAACAAGAAGGGGGACCATTGTCAAGACCATGACAATGCCATGTGGAATGGTGTAAACCTCCTACACTCACCCATGGCTTTCCCCACTTTTGCCACTCCTGCCAATACCATTCCCTTCCCCCAACCTTCCATGAAAACGGCATCCTCCAGTTTTGAGCTCGGAATTTAACCTCCTCCTAGCTGAGACCCACCTGATAAGTAGACTCAGCGTGGCACAGCGAGGCATCGTCGATCTGCTGGTGGTCGGGGTACTTGAGACCGGCAGTGTCGACGGGGCAGTCAGCAGGCTTGGGCGGCTGAACAAGGGAGGCATGGATGTAGGCCACCTCCAGATGGCCGTTGGGCTTGGTCTCCACGTGGAACAACCGGTACCCCAGATTCTCCAACGTGTACTCCACCTCCAGCATCTGCCGCGTCTGCCCTATGCTGTTCCACGTGGTGCCATCCCGCACAGCCCCATGCAGACACAGACAACAGCATCCCATTTATGGTTGCATGTAATGCCATCTCCCCGATGGACGCAGAGTAATGCAGATGCACAGACGCATGCACACAAGCACACATACACAGACACACGTATACATGAACAGACACACACACATGCATACATGCACACCCACACACACACACACACACACACACAACACACACACACACACACACACACACACACACACACACACACACACACGCACACACACGCAAACATACAAATGCACACACATGTGGATTGAGTAGACTGGCACAAGAACTAGTGCATCATGCTCAACAAACTTAGGAATCAAAACCAGGACCCTTCTCCACCTCCCAGCTTGTACTATTCCTGCATAGGAACATGCCAGATGAAAACTTTAATCTGCTTCAAGGTTGCAACAACAACAGCCACAGCCTGACTTGAATTCATAACCATGTGAAGAACAGTATCAAGCACCGCAAGCATAGATGCATGTAGAAGCAGACACAGATGCAAAACGTGACTTACTGGCTGAGCAGCATCATGATCTGGCCGAAGGGCAGGAGGCCGCCTGAGCGGGAGAGGCCGGAGGCGGGGTTGGAGCCGAAGGAGGCGTTGAGTTGGCGGATGAAGGCAACCTCACATTCGAGGCAGTCAGGTGCGAGGTAGAGCACGTCCACGTAGCTGTGCTTGGCCGCCGCCAGCAGGTCGGGCAGAGAGACATCGGTGGGCTTGGCGTCCTTGGGCAGCGCCAGCCCCACCTCGTGGAACTCCACGTGCGCCTCCGCCCTCACTGCCGCCTGCTGCGCCGCCGACAGCGACGAGCTGAACACGTGCGCCCGCGTGTGCAGCGCTATGGACGCCGCCAGCTCAAAGCCGTACTCTGGCTTCGAGTGAATGCTGCGGTTAGAGGGAGTGCAGTGAAGGAAGGCAAAGAGGGAACATTGACTTTGGAAAGTCAGAAAGGCACGCAAGATGTGCAAGATAGATATGCACTTGTAGAGGTGGAGAGCGGGCATGCTTTCAAACATTGAGCCTGAAAGCCTGCCGCTTGACAAGGGCTAGGGACGTTCAGTTGAGTCAGTCGCCCAAGGAGCTAACGCTATAGCGCGACTTTGTTGGTAGTGTAAGTGCTTTGAGTGTAAGTTCTTTGATAGAAAAGAACAGGTGGCGCGGATGTAAGACCTGAGTGGCATGATTGAGACCTGGCTGTAAGACAAAACTGATCATACCTGTAGATAACAGGATTGGGCTGGATTGCTGATGGCACATTACATATCCACTGGAAGAGGATTGGGGTAGGGAAAAGAGGGGAGAAAGGGGTGATGGAACCACGCAATTCATCAGGGGGATGAAAGGGGAAGCAAGGGCGTGGGACGTGAGGAATCTTACTGGCTTACTTCCAGAAAACAAAGCCAATGTTCACAATTGCGTTCCTCTGCTTCTTTGTCAGCAATTTCCCATAATACCAATAAAATCAACTTCTTAGGTCAATAATGTTGTTCCAAGCCCCTCCCCTGTGTGACTGACCTTGCCACCTTCGCCCCAGGGCCCGAGGCGTTCCTGGAAGGGGCAGGCGTAGAGCGGCACGAAGATGTTGTTGAGCATGTCGGGCGCATTCGTGATCAACGGCTGCGATGCGTTGCACGCCACCGTGCGCAGGCGCGAGTTCACCTGTGGGGAATGGGAGAAAGAAAGGTTGGGATTCAATCAGCTCGACCGAGTACCAACATTGGAACAAGATTCAGGGTTAAGGGGTTGGGGTACCATAAATATGTGCGAAACAGGACAGTCAATGGGTAACTCAATCGTCAGCCAGCTATAAATTATATACTACACCTCAGCTAGAAATCACTTGCAGAAGGAGGCGCACTCTCGGCAATTCCAAGAAATGCAGGATAATGAAGTTACCTCCAATTTCGCAGCAGGTAGGAGATAAGTTAGTTGGATCAGAAGAGCCGGGGCTTGCTTACCCAGAACGACTGTTCTTCGTGGCACACAGCGGCTCCTTCCACTTGTCTTGCTGTAGGAAGGGCTTCCATCGTGTACTCTTGGCCGGCTCCACCAGCACCACCAGATCCTGCCTCCCCGCTTGCCAATTTTCCGCTACTGGATTCACTCTGCGATGGACTCGTCACTCCCTCTCCTGCAGGACTGTTTCCACGAAGGAGGCCAGCCGCTCCATTTCCCGTCGCTGGCTGACCTGCACCTGCGTCTAGACCATCGACTCCCGATCCGTCAACGTTAAGCATGTTACCGCCAGGCAGGATATTGTTTTGCGGATCGGATTCATCTATCTCTGTTAATGCAGCTGCGAGTTCTTCAGGAGCGCCGTGGGTCACCGGCTGGAAAGCAACTGCGAGAATGAAGGCCAATGCGATCGCCGCTGGGATTGCGATCTGAAGTATGGTCTTATTTCTTTGCCATGCCACTGCAAGTCTGTTCCATAGTGGATGATTAGCCATGTTCTCGCAACGATGTGCTGCAAGTTAGCCTGTGCGAATATCTGTCAAATAACCGTAGCTCCAATAATCTCGAATACTCATAGGAGGTGCTCAGGGAAGGAAGAATACAACCTCACCAATTGGGAGTTCAAAATGCCATGGTTCGCGATAACTTATCGTGTACGACAGACATCAGTCGCAACGATTGCCTGCACTAGGGAAGGAGCAGCAACCTCCAGATACCTCTCTATTCTCGAAACTGCATCAGGCGCTCAATGTTTGAAAGAGTGACAACGTTGGTTGCATTGTATTTGAGACCGTTGGCTGGCAGTGCAGATGCTAGCAACCCATCAGGACAGGAGAACAAGAATCAGCGAATCAGGATCAAGGGATAAGAAATCAGGACCTAGGTTTGGTAGAGGTGGCATCTGAGTGAAGCCGACGGACAGTTGGGGTAGGTAGGTGCAGACACTTAGGTCGTCTCCCTGGCTGGTGTCAAGAAGTTGGTGTCAAGAAGTTTGTGCACGCGATTAGTCCAAAGAAGACGCTTGACCAATCGCGTGCGCAAACTTCTTGACACCAGCTTCTTGTCACCAGCCAGGGATACGACCTAAGGTAGTTGATGTTCTCGCTAGCACTACAGTTGACGTATCTGACGGGTGTATCTTGAAACATATGGGAGTACGGTAATGGAAAACCTATTAGCAGAATCATTGCAGGTTTTGGAATTACATTTTGCTTGCCTGCAGAGCTGAATCAGAGGGGATTGGCCATGCCCGCGTGCCATTGCTTTTCTTCACATTTAGTTCATATTTCCCCCCAATGTCCCCGCATTGCCCAGCCCTCCCTCCCTTCCAAATCCGTAGTTCAGTAGCTAGGTTTTTATATAAATTTCCACAGAAACCTGCTGTGCAGCAGACTGCAGCTGATTGCTGCACAGTGGCCCTTGATATCCAGAACCTGACCCAAACAGCTCCTGTCATACCACACATGGCTTTCCACCTCTAGTCATCACAGTTGTCACCGGAGAGCCTTACTGACTACTAACTCCAGAAGATGCACTATACCAACTGTTCCTGCTCTAACAGCACTGCAGACATCTAATGGTGCGGTATAACACCAGTCGCACCCTACGCCTGTTTTCCCTGAAATTTGTTACTGCCTCCGATTACTCCGCATAAGGCATAAGCACACTCTAGAAAAGGAAAAGGGATACGACCCACCATCAACCCTTGGTCCTGATTTGGATCGAATACCTAGTCTGAGAACCAGAACAGGACAGTACACGAATACTTACGAACTGCCAGGTGCAACGACTAAAACAAAACTAGAACAAAAAAACGCAATGCAAGAGACACGCAAAATACCTTCTTTCAATTCATTACCATTTTCTGGTTCGTCAGAATCCGGATGATGAGATGCACGCAATCAAGAGGGTCCCGTGCCGAGGGCAACCAAGTCGCAGTGGTGAAGGTCCTTGTGGGAACCACTTGACACACACTGGAAGGCCCTTACCAGGCCCAAAACGAAAAACAGCAGCAGCAGCAAAGCTGGCACATGCTTCTAGACAGCCCGCACCCCCACTTACCCACCCCTCAGCTCCCCACCCCTCCCCTCTATTCTTCCTGACCCATTTACCCCACTAGAAGCCAAACCAGCGGCCGCACCTACCCATACAGCTACAGCGGCGAACCGCAACCTGGAGAAACCAGCGAAGCGTCCTGGCCAGGAGGCTGCATATGTGAGCGGCACGTTCGCAGTAACGAGCGATGGATGCTGAGAGGAGAATGGTGAACCATGCAGGTGCAGGTGCGCTTCTGCCTTGGCGACATGATGACGGGCGGGGCACTGCGGGGCGAACAGTGCAGGCACGCGGCCATTCTCACCATCATGGGTTCTAGCACAAGCACGACACACCCTCTGCTCAAGCTGCAACGCCGCCATCATCTCCCACCCTAGCGATCCCTGCAAGGAGCAAAAGACAAGGGCAACATGCAACCTCCATGCTTCAAAAACCGCACCCGACAACCGCATCTCAAACTGCAACAGTCATTCAAAACTGTAACAAAATTCATACCATGACTCACATGCTCAACTTCGCCTTCCTCTTAAGGTCTCTTATGTCTGACAACGCCTAGGAGCGCAACATGGAGTTGAGCGCACCAGGACAAACAAACCTGGGAGCGTACCTCTCTCGGTCGCGCGAGCGTGAGCGGTAGCTGCGGTCGTAATCCCTGTCTCTGTCCCTCTCCCTATCCCTGTCCTTGCGATCATAGTCCCTGTCGCGATCCCTCCTGCGGTCCCTGTCCCTGCCCCTGTCGCGGTCCCTCTCCCTGCTCCTCTCGCGGCTCCTCTCCCTGCTCTTCTCCCTGCCCCTGTCCCCATCGCGCTCCTTGCTTCTCGCTCGCTCCTCAAGCGGAGCCTCCTCCTTCTTCACAACCTCGGCTCGTTCCGGAGGGCCAATTTCCGCCGCCCTGGTACCATAGTCCGACATGGGAGATGAAAATCGAGGAAGGATGAGGTGCGTGTGGGGTACTCAGGGTCTGGGAGGGCAACACAAACGACTGCGAAGGTGGAAGGACGACGATGGCCAAGATGCGAGATAAAAGAGGGTCGGGGATAAGTGGAACGGGGGAGTAAAAGATAAGTAAAGGAGGGGAGACGGATCAGATGGGGAAGGAAACAGGAGAGCAAGGCAGGACGGACATGAAAGGAGGCGGAGGGGGAGATGAGGGGCGGACGGGGAAAGATTGTGGTGAAGTCGAAGGCAGGAAAGTAAAAAAAAAGGCTAAACAAACTCATTCCAACCCCCGCCAAGCCCTTTCCACGCCATACGAACTCAACATCCCAAAAACGCACATCTTCAACCCCCCCACACCCCCCCCTCCCCTGCTTCCCGCACTTTTCCACAGGCCTCTCTCTCGGTCGCTCTTCCAAGCGGGGCGGCGGCGGCGCAGCAACAACAGCAGGAGGGTCCCTCCCGGAGTGCCTCTGGTTGACCTCATCGCCGCCAATGCGCGTGGAGCCCAGCCCTCCGCCGAGCCTGCGCGGGCGCCAGTTGGGCACGGTGCGGCCCCTCTCCACGTCCACTATCACACGCCGGTTGTCAATCTTGCGCCCGTCACCCTGCTTGTACGCCGCTGCACACAGGACCGCGGGGCGAGGACCGAAAAGGGGGGGGGGAGGGGGGCCGAGGGCGGGAGGAGGACCAAGGAGGGGGAGGGGGGGGCAAAAAGGGGGGGGGGGGAGCGGGGGGGAGAAGGGAGAGGACCAAGGAGGAAGTGTTGAGGCAGAAGAAGATAAGTGAGGGGCGTAAGCTAAAAGGCAGGGGGAAGCAGGGAGGGGCAGGGGAGGTGGCTGGGGGGAGGGAGGGGAGGAGTGGGAGGGGGACAATGATGTGTACGAGTGAGCGCAACGAGTACGGTAGGACAGTAGGTCATTTCACAAAAGTGATTTTTTTTGCAAGGCGTGACGAAAACTGGGAGGATAGAGGTGACGCACTCTTCATGTCTCGTGTGTGGTGGTACTCGATAAATGCGTAGCCGCGCGGCTTGTTGTCCACTGTGCTCGTCACCACGCGCACCTGATGCCACACGCATAAACGTGAATACACACGCACGCAGGTGAATACCAACGCATTCACGCAATGGCACGCAACAGACAAGCATCGATAAAGCTAGTCGCACACACACAAAGACAAACGGGCAGTAGCGCGGAGAGCGGCAACACTTGGTAGCGCGAGACGAGTGCGGTGCAGCAATCGCGGGTGCAGCTACTCAACACAGGAGCATGAGTGAGCTTACCTTGCGGATAGGCCCATACGCCTCGAACTCACGACGGATCTTAGTCTCCGTAGTTTCGTAGCTCTGGTAGGGCGCGGTAGGAAAACGGAAAACGGGCCGGAAATCACAACACAACACATCGTAAGAAGAAGAGCGAAAGGATGAGGAGCCGAAAAAGAGTGCTGCGAGCCGACGACGAAGTAAGGGGTCGAGACGTGTGTGATAGGATCGCAAGGAGGCGGACATGGGGAACGGAAGCGAAACGAGAAGCAGGAGATGGAAATAGCACGTGAGAAGAAGCAAAAGGGGAGCGATACTCACGACACGAGCCACGAAGAGGGTTTTGTACGGGTCGCCCTCAATGTTGGGGTCGGCAGCCGGGTTGTCTGGAAAAGACGCGGGAAGAGAAAACGCACATAGGAAACGAGATGACCACAACGACAGCGCAACGCGACATTGTTGTACACGCGATACAAACAAAACCACTGGATTTAAACAGCGTGTGAGAGAACCGGCGCTAAGCAGTAGGGACAAAAACGACGAAGCGAGGCAATGGAAGCACTTACACTCGGCGAGTGCCTCCTCGACCTGCTTGCACCCCTTCTCCAGCTTCGCTGCGCGAATACGCTGCTTCTTCTCTTCCTGCACGCACGCACACGCACACATACACGCACGCACACACGCACGCACGCACGCACGCACCCCACTCACGCACGCACACATACACGCACGTAGCAAAATTCAGTCACACTCCCGCCTTCATCCCTTCCCCCACCCCCCCCTTTCCCCCCCTCATTCCCTAAAGACACCCCCAAGTCAACAACCCGCCCCGGCCGACCCAAAGTCACCCCCGCCACGATGAGCCATCAATGCAAAGAGATATCCCCAGGCCAACACCAGAAGAAACAGGCACCAACTAGTAGGATCCACGCAAGGGTAAGAACGCGATCATTCAACCTTAGGAGTAAACCCGAGCGCTGCCTGAACGAAGCGGAGGGGTCATGAACAGGATGCGACCAAGCTGTC